CAGCGTAATCCGCTCGTAATTGTCCGTGACCTTCTGGCCTACAATACCGATGAGGATATTAAGGCCGCTCTAAAGACACAGAACGCCCGCCTGCTGGAGGGTCTATCAGCCGAGGACTTAGCCGTGTCAATTAAGTACCGGAGGAAGGCGCGGAACTCTCTCGAGAACCACGTCGTCCTCCAGGTCTCGCCGCGGCTATGGAAGAGGCTGACTTCGGCTGGTAGAATCTATGTCGATTTACAGCACGTGAAGGTGTTCGATCAGACTCCGCTGGTCCAGTGTAGTCGGTGTCTGGCCTACGGACATGGGCGAAAAAGCTGCACGGAAAAAGTGGACTTGTGTAACCACTGCGGGGGGCCCCACCTCCAGGCGGATTGCCCTAGGTCGACTGAGGGGGGAAAACCTACCTGCATCAACTGCAGCAGGGATGGACAACCCGACACAGGCCACTCAATTTTCGCCCAAGACTGTCCTGTCCGTAGGAAGTGGGACGCTTTGGCCCGAGCGGCAGTTAGCTATTGCTAAGGTGGCATCGGGCGTCTCACAGGCAGACAACAATACAGGCATCGACACACCGATAAATAGTTCCCCATATGGGGAGGTAAGTGCAGATTCGCAGGAGTCCGGCGGCGGCGAGGATGCGATCATCGGGATCGCCAGCCAGGTGGTGTACAGGGTGCCAAGACTATGGAAATATAACTCGGACCATTGCGGCAAGAAGCTAAATACATCAAATTCTGTCCATCTTCATCAGAAATGGTACAAATTTTAAAATGAGCCGAATACTTTGCCGTGGTGGTTCGAAAGCCAAAAGGTGCACCCATTGCAAGCCTGCACCACAGGTTGTGCTGAGGTCCTCACCCGGTGTTGTAATGTGGAGCTGTCGCCGTAGGCGGGCACCTGCAGAGAAAAGGGCAATGGCACAGTAAGGCGTGGTCAGTGGCCAAAGAAATGGGACCAAGACGATGTCCTTCACTTGACACGCACAGGTCTTGGCAGCTCAGACCATTACGTCGAAAGTCCTAGAAGGCCACGCAAACGTCTCTACAAGACATGTTACACATGGTGGAGCGTTTGCGTGAAAAAGGTACGATAAATACGGAGAGCACCAAAACCCAATGCAGCGAGACAAGTGAAGGGCAGAAAAACTAGGCGCTAGGTACTTATATTGGTAAATATTATGACATTAGCGTCAAAACTATTATATATATAATTATGTTTAAGTAATATCTATAACTATCTATCTTTACCAAAATATATATAACTTATTTATCTTAAACTTTTAAAAAATGGTTCCCAAAAAACTGTAAAATAATAGTTCGCTACAAAAAGGTCTCTGATCATGTCAGAGGAGCACATCGGCACAGCAGGAGGGGTTTTAGCCGGTAAGAGTCCGGCAGTACTCACACCTCCCTATTCGTGGGGAGGTGTGAGTCTCCATGAGGATTTCCCCTCCTGCTGTATAAAAAAAAAAAAAAAAAA